GAGGTGGGGGGTGCTCCGGGGCAGGTGGGCTGACATCTGCTGCTTCTTCTGCAGCTCCTTCTTCTCATGCTCCAGCAGGTCCTCGATGAGCAGGGGCAGCTCGCTGGCCACCAGCGAGCTCTCCATCTTGTCCAGGTCATCGGCCGGTGAGTGCCGGGCGCTGCCCAGGCCCAGGGCTCCACCGTCCAGCTCAAACTTCTCCAGCAAGGGGTTGCTCTGGCTGCCCAGCTGGGCAGGGGCCAGCCCGCGGCCAGGGCTGGCGTAGGGGTCCTTCCCCGGCACAGGAACGCCGGCATGGCTGCTGTTAGGGAAGTGAGTCAGGCCGAGGCGAGCCGGGCCGGCCCCGGGGCTCAGGAGGGTCTGGCCGGACTTGAGGCTCAGCCCCAGCGAGGCAGAGATCTTATCCGTGCCCTGCAGGGCCTCCGACATGACGGGGACGGGGACCCGCTCGGGGCCGCCAGCGGTGAACTGGCAGGGAGAGGTCTTCAGGCAGCCGTCCTCCAGCTTGGGCTTGACATCAGCGGGCAGCGAGCCCGCCTTCGCCTCCGTGCCCTGCACCTTGAAAGCCGGGTCGGGCGCCAGTGCGGTGCCAGTCGGGCAGGGAGCGGGTCCCAAGCCCACCCCAGGCACCAGCCCTTCCTTGGGCACCTCCCGGTCCTCCACAGATGGGGCCGCGTCTTTGCCGTCCCCGGGGTCGGGGAGCTTCAAGCTGGGCGCTGGCGGCTCTGTCTTGAGCTGGGCTTCGCGCTCGGCTTTCTCGTTGGCTGACTCGACCAGGCGAAGGTGCTCGTTGAAGATGTCCTTCTTGTCGCCGGTGTCCAGCTCGGGGTCGGTGTAGGCCAGCAGGTCAAACTCGTCACCGTTCAGCAGGTCGTCGAGGTGGGGGTCTGCCGTCTCCAGGCTGTCCAGGTTGTCCAAGTCGTCATCCCCTTTAGCCACATCCGGATCCAGGCTCAGGTTGGCCAAATCGTCATCATCTTCCAAGTCCTTGTGGGAGCCGAAGTCATCGTCCAAATCGGGCTCCACCGGCACCTCGCAGGGCAGACGTCCCCCCTCCAGGCTCAGATGCCGGCACCTCGCAGGGCAGACGTCGCCCCTCCA